ATTGGGGCATCCACCCTACAAAACTTGAATATAAAATTTAAATCAGATGCGTGTAATCACTCTGGGAGCTTGTAGCAAACTAAACGCGCGGCCAACATGTGGACGCGGCGACCAAACTCCGCCAACAATCCTTTGATCTTTAGTAAAAAATCGACACCACACGGATCTCGCGCCAACTTGCGGGCCATCGTTCCAATACATACCAATGAAGCCCAAACACCCCGTCTACACGTTGGCCAATGCTATTGGCCACTACATTCGCCACTGTGTTGGCCAACGTGTAGAGGCGCCGTAAGACAAAGGCAATAAACTTCACGAGTAATGGGAACTAATAAACTTGTATGAAATACGACGGTATATTAATTTGAAATAAATATATTAAATTATAATGTATGCTAATTGTATAACTCGAACATCGTGATAGAAACAAAACAATCGATCGTGTTTACGATGAAGATGATATCATCAGTCCCGCCGTTCTGGTAATGGCTTTGCAAATGAACAACAAAATTAATTTTATCAAGAATTACCTGGTACGGGGAAATACAGACAGGATTTATTCATCTCATTGTATACCTAAATAATAATAATGTAGTAAAGAAGATACGCTTGGCAAGTGTTTAACGATTGTAGTTAATAAATTATGTAACTAAATAAGGAAGAAAAAAAACACAATTAAAACATTATTAGAATACATGGTAAATATTATACAATGTATTTTATTACAAATTTACTTCAAGAATATGCACATTTTGAAAGAAAGTATTAGGTACCTAAATAAATTCTATTTCGATCAAATAAGCAAAATCTTGTTTTAATGAGGAACTCGCCGATAAATGATAGGTAAGTTCTATTTAAGACAATGTAAGAATCATCAGTTTCGCTTCAGAAGCGCTGGGATTAAGTAAAAACAAACTGTCTATTGTGGTAAGAGCCCTGAGTGGAAACTGTTGTTTCAAAAAGCACATATCCAGTTTAAGTTTAAGCAACTCAAGGGTGTACCGACCGTGTTCCTCAACCGAGGAAACGCCCTTGCTCATCCTGATTGCGGACCCTTAACGTTCAAAGGTTACACTCATCTGGGAAACTAGGCACTTAAAAGAAGTCAAAATGCTCAAAGCTAGACAACTCCTTAAATTCATTGAAGATAGCTGTATGTCTTAGCAGGGAAGTATAGCTATAGCAGCGATCACAATAGATTTTACTGGTCTCAGTGATACTGGCCTATTCAGACTTGCATAGCTGCTCGCTTAAAAAGGAGTCGTAAAATATATCAATGTTAGTTATTGCTATAGACTATACAATTAATATAACAAAACGCGATCCTAAGCCACATGCATCCATCAACTGTCTTACCGTCTTTAACACAGGGGCCTTAAGCTACAGTCTACAAAAATTTAAAGAGTCACTAAAATATTCAGTCAGTCAGTTGATTTAACATATACGATTTTAAAGATGAAATAATATTTATTCATATAAAACATACAAATGATTTTTTTTTGCACAAAACATATTAAGGCACTTATATAATAATAAAGTAATTAATTTTTGCACATTGAAAGGGGCGCATTTAGGCACATTCTACTGTGAATTTAACAAAATTCGAAAAACTCCGTTACTTTATTTAAAAAAATCTGAGAAAAACTTCAGTTACAAATCAATACTCCTTCATTCTCTCTCTCAAGTTGCTTGGTGCAAGGTCTATTGAACATATTCAAGTATTTTAAGGCCACCATTACGATTTGCAGTCATCGCAGCGGAGGCATAGTGTGGGAATTTTATTAATTTTATTTTTGATTTAAATATCCATTATTATCCATCCCCTTCACTGCTGACCGTATGAGGAAGCTATAGGTCACTCAGCAGCCCATGGAGAGGGCTATGCTCGGGGTTTCTCTGCGTGATAGACTTAGAAATGAGGATATCCGCAGTAGTACCAGAATAACCGACATAGCCCAACGGATTAGTAAGTTGAAGTGGCAATGGACCGGCCATATAGCTCGAAGAACCGACAACTGATGGGGAAGCAAGGTTCTCGAGTAGCAGCCTTATACCGGTAGGCAAAGTGTGGTGTGGCCCCCCACTAGATGAGGTGATGTCCTGATAAGATGTGAAGAAAGTCGATGGAAACAGATGGTTCGGGACCGTGCTTTGTGGCATACGGATGCCTTTGTTCAGCAGTGGAATTGTGAAGGGCTGTAATAATGATGATGAAAGTAATGATCATGATGATACTATCGATATCCATTACAGTATATAGCCCACTACCGAAAAAAGGCCTCTCTATAGATTGGCCATTTTTTATTTTTTATAGGAAAAGCGTGACAAGCAAACACACAGACAACCTGATGGTAAGTGTATACTGTAGTCTATAGATCTACATCTATCCTCGATTAAGAATCAAACAGCACATGCGTTGTCACCTCTGAGGATTAAGAATGTCTTTCTACTCGAAAAAATAGAAACACAGCAGCATTGAGCTGCTATTTTATGCTGGTATTCTGTGAGAGCGTGGTCCTTCCCCGATTGAGCTGACTCAGTCGTGCTTCAGCGATAATACGGCTGCAGCATGGCTCCGCCACCTAAATACTCATAGGGGTGTTTTGGCCATAGTTGTCACACTTGGCGAGCGGGTTGGCAACCACTGCTTTTTTATTTTTTAATCGTCAAAAAGCTGCTACCCATCTCCTGATTCAGTTTCCCTCCATCACCTCTTACAACACGCAATAGACGATATGTGATGGTGGATATTTTTATACTACCGTTACACGGCTATAAATCATTTTATATATAAAATATTTTGTCATCATCTAATTTGTTTTAATCACCCATTAATGCACAATGATGTTACCCTGTGAGCCGACACTGTAGCGCCGTAAGTATATGCTGACGCAATCGGTGAAAAGGTCAAGCGAACGAGTTCTCGGGTACATCTCCGACATTCCCATCACTTGCAAAACGTATGCCGTGTCTAACGCACCTTTGTTTGTTGATTCGCATCATTCAATTGTTTGTAAGCCAATAGGAGAACCTTTACGCGCTATTACTACTTAACTTTCAAAGGCAGTTAGAACTGAAGACCTGTTTTATTGGAAACGAGGCATACCATCTTAAGCCTCAGGGGTGACAACGCATCTGCATTTTGATTTTTAATCGAGGATAGATGTAAATGTCTATGGAATACAGCATTCATGTACCATCAGGTGCACTGTGTGCACATTTTTTGCCCTTATTTTATTCTATAAAAGGGCAGATCAGAGCGATGACTTTAGACCTACAATAACCTTGACATCACTAACTTCAACCAACAATGACCTTGACGTCACTGTTTTAGTAAATAAATAAAAATTGGAGAATGTATTAACAATTAAAAACGTTAAGCATGTAAACGATAATATGAAGGCTGATCCAATTTTATTTTGCAATGTAAATTAAAATGACAACCAACATTAAATATTATACTTTATATCAACATCATAACTACCTTAAAAAGATATCCATTTTATATCTTATCATTTTATATAAAAACTTGACCTGAAACGTGCATTAAAATGTAATATAACGTCACGAAAACAGGATTACGTGATAAACCAGCCAACGGCTATGGATTCCACAGAACGAGAAAAAAAACTACATTGCCAAAGTTTACATACATACCATGTCGTCGTATGACGCTTCTGTGGCGCAGTGACTTAGCATTGAGTGACAGCGCTGCAGACCGCGTGTTCGAATCCCGCTAGGAACATGTAACTGTATGTACCTACAAATAATTATTACTGGTCTGGATGTTTGTTCTTATGCAATTTTTTTAATAGGATAGGGTGACAAACGAGCTACCAGTCCACCTGATGGTAAGTGGTTGCTGTGGCCCATAGACATCTACATTTATCCTCGATATTACCAATCAAAATGCAGATGCGTTGTCACCCGTGAGGACTTAGATGGAATGCCTCGTTTCCAGTAAAAAGGGTCTCCGGTTCTCTACACTCATCATACGAATCACAGCAGCATTAAGCTACTATTTGTCGCTGGTATTCTGTGAGAGCGTGGTTCTGTGAGAGCGTGGTCCCTCCCCGGTTGCGCCGACCGATTCGTGCTACAACTATACTACTAATATAACTGCAGCATGGCTCTAGCACGTAAAAAAAGTATGTAAACTTCCTCCACTATTCATGAAAAAATCATATTATTTTGATTTCAAAAAAAATATGTTGACTAACGTGTTAAATTTCTGCTGTAATAAGGTAGAAAAAGAAATTAAAAAAATAATTTTGCAGTCGCATTACGCCATACGTTAGAATCCATAACAAGAAGCAAGGTAAAATGTGCTTACATCTGGCCAAACAGCTACATCTACCCCCGATTAAGAATCAACATGCAGATTGCGGCGTCACTCCTGAGGACTAATAAAGAATGCCTCGTTTACAATCAAAACGACCTCCGGTTCTCTACACTCACTATAGAAACACAGCAGCATTAAGCTGCTAATTTACGCTGGCATTCTGTGACAGCGTGGTCCTTCTCTAGTCGAGCCAACAAATGTGTGCTACAACTATATTATAGCTGCAGCGTAGCTATATCACGTATGGAAATTTTCAGTAGTGGATTTCTGCGGGATGATGAGGAAGGTTTTTAATGTTATTTTTTTTATAATATAAAAATTAATGTTTGTTTGTTCGATTGTTCGTATTTTTTTGCGTTGCGATACCGTTCATCAGACTGCGCTAAAACTTTGTCAACTTGTTGCTAGCTCTTGCGCAAATGCTATCGAAGCATAGTGCAATTAACTTACAGTGGGTGGCGCTCGTATCGTACTGGCAAATTTATTTAAAAGTTATACTTATATCATTCAACTTCAATGAATGTATCATAATTCCTAATTAAACAATATAACTCTTTCAAATTTAAAACGATATTTTCCCAAAAATTTCTTATGAGGCAGCTTCGCTCCGGATATCAAGTAATTTCTTTTTATAAAATGCTTAATTTTCTATTTCTAGATGCTGTGCTTCAAGCTTCTGCTTTTTCTGGCAACAGTAGCATTGACCAGTTGTGATGTCTCTCATATCCTGGAAGAACCCAAAACGGAACAGCCACCACCAAAACCGTACTCATTCTCCTACACCGCTGGGAGGTACCCTGGCCACACGGACAGACAGCACTCGGAAAGCAGTGATGGCAGCGGAGTAGTCAAAGGTATTTATTTATTTATTTTTCCGTTTCATGAGATATCATTACATAGTACGTAGTAGCATAGTATATATGTGTACACTTAAGTCTTTAGTATAGACCGGCAAAATTTATTAATCTTTGAAATATTTGTTTTATAAAATTAACTTGTAAATAAATCTTTTATAAATTAAATCAATAAAGCACCATTATCATGCATCCCATTTCATGATAAACAATGTTATATACAATATCAATTAATAATAAAATGTCAGTTATCAGCTAAAGTCCTATCATAGTTGTCCTGAGTAATTTAAAAAGGGCTACATTTAGGTACATTGCGATGGAATCATTAAAACAATAATATATATTAATAATATATATATATATATATAGAAATAAATGTTTCTTTCTTTGTGCCGTCCGTGCCTATACATACCATTCATCCAATTGCAATCTAACTTTGGTGAGCTACTGTATACGTGCCGCGAGCGAATATTTCTGACAAAAAAAATATTGTACAGTCGTTAGTCAACTTTTTCGTGCGTATAATAAAGTCAAAAATCCTCCCTCAAGGTGCTCCCCAAGGCTGCCAAGGCCCTCCTCCTTATCGCAGTTGCCACGTTTGCAAGCAGATTGGCGTTCTGAGTTATAATTATTTTGAGTTGTAATCAGGAAAATGCTATTGTCAAAATTCTATTTCTTTTTTTTAAATAGAATAAGGGTGGCAAACGAGCACACAGTATACCTGATGGTAAGTAGATGCTATGACCCATAAACATCTACATCTATGTAGTCCACCTGATGGTAAGTGGATGCTGTGGCCCATAGACATCTTCATTTATCCTCGATTAAGAATCAAAATGTAGATGCGGTGCGACCCCTGAGGACTAAGATGAAATACTTTGTTTCTAATAAAAAAGGGTCTCCGGATCTCTACACTCACCATACGAAGCACAGCAGTATTAAGATGCTATTTTACGCTGGTATTCTGTGAGAGCGGGTCCTTCCTTCCTTCGTGGTCCCCAGTCGAGCCAAGCCATTCGTGCTACAACCATAATATAGCTACAGCGTGGCTCTACCACGTGTACAAATGACATCAAATAACATGCTCTTTAGAGTATGTTCAAATAACACACTTTCGTTCGTAAGGATTTATATATCATGCCTAATAATAACGCTCACAAATCACTTTTTATTTTTCTAAATGTTTTGTATAGAAAATACCTTATTGTGGCTTATTTATATAAAATAGGCATATTGTATCGTTTACATTTTATTAGATGAAGTAAAGATATATACTTTTGTAGAACATTGCATTTACGTAGCATAGCAGTTCGGGAGCGCTTTTTCTTCCGACTTGCTTAACATAGATCAACATTTAAGGGGAAATATAATGTCAAATGGCTTAGCAAGATCCTTCGTTATGCCGAAAATATTGCAGCATTAATTTTGAAATAAATATATGGTAAAGTTGAGGATTAATGTTAATGATTATGTTAGACGAAAACACGATTTCGTAAAATTTTCTCGATAGAAAAAAAGTCCAAAGTTACCTCCAAAATAAACAATAAACCGCTGTTATTCATAAAATACTGTAAATAAGATCATGAAACTTTGCTCACTAACTGAACTAACTATAAAGCAGTGCTTATGTTATTTACTTTTTTTTAAAATACCATTATTTTCATTGTAAAAAGAAATTACCTAAACTATCGGCATCTTGAGCTTGATTCCTGTCGCCCGTTAGTATCGCTTAGGCTTTTGAAGGGAGTAGTTGTGTCGCTTACGATCAGAATATACATTACGCAACAGTACGACGTAAAATTAAAATGGGAAATAACCGTGATAAAAATAAGAAGCGGCTGGCTTGGCGTTAAGAAACAGGCATAATATTATAAACCTAATGAAATAAGTGTCTAACGACCTTTCTACTTACATTATTAGTGATTACAAACATATCGGTACATAGCATACGACGCGCGGGGAAGTGGGGGCGAAATTAGAATTTGAGCTGACATACTCTATCCTCTTAAGGCTAACCGAGAGATATTTTCCAATGCTAGATAACCTATTCCTATTCTGCATCTAATGGGGATTGCCCTTCACTTCGCTTACCGACTCGAGGTTACTACTCGAGAATCTATCTTCCACATCGGTTGTCTGTTCTTCGAGATATATGGCCGGCCCATTGCCACTATAGCAATCCGTTTGGCTATATCCCTTACTATAAAGGCTAATATTTAAAAAAGTTATATATTATACAAAAGTTTTGACGATTATATTTAAACTCTATTCTCTTTTTCTTTAAGGTTCATTCTCCTACGTGGACCCCCGTCAAAAAGTCCGCACAGTTGATTACGTCGCGGATAAAGAGGGCTTCCATCCATCACTCAGTGAAGTACCGCCGGAACACCCTAGTGACTCTGAATCTGTTGCCCTGGCAAGGGACAGGCACTTCCAGTTATACTCCAAGATAGCTGAGGAACATGCTCATCCTGAAAGTAAGTTGAATGCTTCCAAATTATTTGCTGCCCGCTTTTATGAAATCGGTTAACAATCAACCGTAGGTACTATCCACTTGAGATCAATTGAGAATTGAACCCACAAAATCTTAAAGACTAAGCTTAGGGTTGAATGTAAATTGTTTGGGACATATCAGGGGTTTTTATTCGCAGCTTGTTCAAGTTCACTACTGAACACAGGCCTCCCCATAGGAAGTGTTTAGCAGAGTCGGCAAGGGATGCCCGAGACGGAAGTTTATCGGCTAAATTGACGATATATTGGATATAGGCCAAATTGCATATAGATGTGAAAAAAGCGAGATATATGTGTCAAGATCGAGTCAAATAGAAGTCCGTTGTCTCTGCCTAACTCTTTGAGCTACAGATGTCAGGGTTCATGGTTATGGATTTCCAACTAACTTCCCGGTGATCTAAAGTATTGAAACTTTAAACATAGCCGAGAACTGGAATGGTGGTAAAAATTGTCGTTTTGATACAATAATAGTGATATACAAGCTCACGATCCAACAGATGGTAAGTGAATGCTGTAGCCCATAGATATCTAGATCTATCTTCGCTAAAGAATACGCTGTCTCACTATACGAAACACGGCAATTTTAAGCTGCTGTTTTACGCTCGTATTCTGTGAGAGCGTGGTTCTTCCCCGGTTGAGTCAACTCATTTGTTCAAGTTGAGTCAATTCATGCTACAACCGTAATATAGCTGCATTGTGGCTCTATCACATAAAAATGATTTTGAATTGTAATTATATTTCAGACGTCTTCCCCTCGGTCCCTCGGCAGTCCGAAGCAGTGGCGACCGCAACCTTAAAGCACTTAAATCTGTTCCGAGTGATAGCAGAGCAGCACGCACGCATCGCTGCCGAAAGAGAAGCACTACAGAGGGAGGAAGAGGAGCAACAACACCTGCAAGAGCTGCAGCACCTGCAGGAGCCACAAGAACTAGACCATTGACACCTGAGCACTCTTAAGAACACAGCGACTAGGCTATAATAATTACGCCAGGTTACTGCTAATCATTACGAAGTACCAGAACGTAGAACAACAAAGAAAAATAGGTGGAGCGCTGCGTACATTTCAATTGATGCCGAAATCACGCACACATCTTTCTACTTTTTTTCTTTATCAGTCCTTAAAAGTTCACTCTCGGATGCACAAACATGCACCTTAAACCATGTTACTGGTGGCAAATATTTTTAGGTGCTTATATGTGCAAGCGTGCATGTTCTTACAAAAAGTTGAGCTTAGTTAAGGCTTGTTTTTGCGTCACTTTTAATGTAAAAAACTCTCCGTCTATATTCCTATGTCTGAAATTTATGATGTTTCAAATGTCACATTTTTTTAACCATACTTCAACCAACTACATACAGTTTACTTAATATATTATTTGATTTTGAATGCTCTCTCGAAAACTTCATTCATTTTCTTAGGGCTTATTCACATTACTTAACAATTTTGCCGATGTTATTCCCTTTGTTAAGCTTTGTATAATGTCGTTGTGTTGTATGTTTAATTAGATTTTTATTATTTTTAAATATAAAATAAGATGTTTATGACTACTAAAACTTTTACGCCATTTTTGTTACCGTGCTCGTAAAAAGTATGATATTAATGCTTATAAATTTCAAAGAAATAGCACAACAAAAAACATAATAATGAACGAATGAATGATCAAAATGCTTGTGTTTCTTATAATTATGCCATCTTTTTATATTCATGAAACGCTTCGTTCTATGTTACGATTCATTTGATCACTTACGAGGTATATATAATTTATTTATAACATAGTATATGGCCAACATTCGGTAAGTTACAACGATTATAGAATATTTAAAACAATTTATTCATATATTATTAAGATAATGATGAATTGTATCATTATTATTTTACTATTCTAAGTCCGAAGGTAAGTAGTAACGCAGCCGAAGATGGTGAAGCGCAATGACTTAACAAAAGCCTATAAACTCTTCCCTTGAAGAAACACACCATGTGATCGTATGTAACAACAGATATTGGCAGATTATTCCATTCCTATGTTGTACGTATTATGAACGACGAAGCAAACCGTTTGGTTCGAATGCGTGGTATCTCTACAGCAAAGGAATGGAGAGCAGCCGATAAGTATTTCATTTTATGCTCTCTTCATGCACTTCCCCTAATGTAAAATGTGTGTATTTGTAAGTGAAATATTTTAAATATAGAAACTGGGCATAAGTCACAGTAAATTTTGGTAGATAATGTAAGCTGATGTAAGCAGTAACCCGAGCGTGATGGAATCATGACATTTAATTATTAAAGTGCTATCGACATAAACAGACATTTCCAAAATGTAAAATCTTTTTTATTTGTTTAAGTATTTTATAATGAATAACCAGTCATGAATTTAGTGTTGTTGTTTTTGTTTTGGCGTGAAATCACCTTAATATTCAAGCATACGATCTTTTTATTATCATGAAACTCATTTTTAAATATTTTTTGACACATTCTTCATTTCCTTGTAAAATGTAAATTATTAAGTAACATAGAGGATTTCTTATGTCTGAATTTTTTTATCTTTTTTTACTATTGAATTTTGTTTGTTAATATTTTTTGTATTTTGTTTTCTTTTTTTGTACGATTCGGCGGCCATATTAATAATTAAATTAATGAAAACTGTACAAACTTATTTCATTACCATACCCTATTAAAAACAGTTGGAATGGTAGCTGTAAGAATATGCATACCATCACCCCATATTAACAGTGTAGTGGGCGTGTAATATCCACTACCCCACATCATTCGGTAGGTGTCGAAAGTCGAGGTAGGCAGCAGCGTATTCCCAATTACTACTAAAAATAAAAAATAAACTGCGGTTACCGACCCGCTTGCCAGTCGTGGCAGCTGTGGCAAATATTCCATCGTATGAACGTTCTGCGACAAATTTTTGATAGGCTCTGTTACAGACTGGTAGCTCGTTTATTACATACATCCATTACAGCCCATCAAAAGTCCACTACCGTGGTAGCTCAGATGGTTAGCGCTCGCTGTAAATTTCACAGTACGCGAGCAAACCGGGTTCGATCGCCGCCGGCACCGATGAAATTGTTAATTGCAATTTTAAGTGCTGATTTACCACGTGCTCAGCGGTGAAGGAAAACATTGTGAGAAAACCTGCATGTCTGAGAAATAAAACAAAATATTTCGAAGACATGTAAAGTTTGCCAACACGCATTAGGGCAGCGTAGCGGATAATTCCTTGCCCTAAAACCCCTTTCAGAAATGAGCTGAGGCGTGTGTCTAGGAGTGGGACGTATATAGGCTGTAACTTTAAAAGTCCACTGTTGAATAGACGCCTCTCCCATAATCAGTTACTTTAATATTGTAACAGGGGTGATCTTAAGGTTTGCGTTTAGGTTTTTCTATTTTTTTTTAAGTTTATGCAGAAATTTCAGGTCAGTTAGGAATTTTTATCAAAGCAAGAGTGACACACGAGCACACAGCCTAACTGTGTGTGATGATAAGTGAATGCTGCGGTCCACAGACCTATTCTCCTCGATAAGGAGCCAAAATGAAGATGTGTTGTCACTCCTGAGGTACCTAATCCTGAAGAATGACAACAGCTGTCAAAAAAGTTCCGCTGTTTCTTGCTGGTTCTTCCCAAAATAGAGGTTTCTCCCAAAAAATTACTTTCATTAAAAAAATTGCTAGTAATCTATATTTAATAAAAAATATTCTGTTATATTCTAAGATAGAACGCCTCGTAACCAGTAAAAGTGTTCTCCGGTTCGCGTCACTTTCACAATAAATTATCGGTATATTTGACTATCGCACACCGCGACAAAATTTCGCGATACCATACAGACCGACTACTTATTCAGGCAGTCAATCACTGTGCGATTTATCAGAGGTTTTTTTCTCTCACAATTTTTTTGCGGAGTTGGTTACCACTAGTGATTTTACCAGACCAATATGACTTAGGGACCTCCGAGAAAAGAGCCGACGTCTTTTTGGGCCGCCAAAGCGCCTTCAATCCTCTGGAGTTGTACTCGTAATTCTAAATTATGCTGATATTTCCTGCTGGTATTCTGTATGATCGTGGTTCTTCACTGTTATGCCGCTCACTCATGTTGCAGTCACATGCGTGAGGATACCATGAACTTATAGATAAGGTAAAAACAACAGATACATGTGTACAGAGTCCGCTTAAAAATAAAACAATAACATAAAAGTTCTATACATGAATATATATTATATTTATTGTCGGAATTCATGCGCCGTGAAGCAGTGGCCACCGTAAGCAGCTCGTCATCTAGCTACTGCTGGCTGAAAAATTAACAAGGAGTAAGTTAGGTAATATTTCATGTTGGAATAGCGAAAAAGAATCCGGTCTTCACGTTCCAGACTCGGGTAAGTTCGCTGCTTATGTGAATTTAGAGGTCGCGTAGGAAGCTTTGATGCGCCGGTCCTGAGAAGTATAGGGAGCTGTCCTCTCTCAAGAAGAGGCCGCCATGGGACGACCAGCACTAGTGGGTCCGCGGATGTGTGCGTTCCTGTGGCCCTGCTAATATGCGGCGAAGGAGAAACACTTTGGAGTTTTAGTCGGTGCGAGTCCGATATAACCCATCCTTGACCCCACGAGGCAATATACGTAGGCGTCCATGTAAAAAAGTGGTCTAGGTGCAACCCGGAAGGTCCACACGACTAACTTCCCAGTGGAAAGAATAAAAATATATCATATGTTTTAATATTTTATACAATTTTTCATTCGACACAAAAAACAACTTGACCGATTTTGCTCAAAATTTAATGAGGACACGGTGATTCGAGGAGGAGGTCCGAAGAGAGGGGGAGGACACGGTGATTCTCGAATCCAGCAACTTGTTCTATCACCGGGAGGGCGACCATCTGTCCCAAGGAGGTGTCGGATTTATCGTCCACAAGTCTCTCGTCAACAACGTTGTAAAGATTGGGAGTGTGTCGACGAGGGTCGCGTACCTGATACTCAGAATCACCAAACGGTATTCGCTGAAGGTCATACAGGTTTACGCACCAACCTCGGCACATTCCGATGAGGAGGTGGAGGAAATGTATGAGGATATTTCCAAAGCCATGCATTCCTCCAAAACCCACTACACGGTGTTGATGGGAGACTTCAACGCAAAACTAGGCAAGAGAAAACGGTGAGCTGAAGTTAGGGAAATTTGGAATAGGGCAACGGAACCGAAGGGGCCAGCAGCTGGCCGACTTTATGGAGAAAGAGGGACTCTTTATGATGAACTCTTTCTTCCAGAAGCGGCCCCACAGAAGTGGACCCGGTCGAGCCCCGACGGTTCGACAAAAAATGAGATTGACTTCATTATGACGACCAGACGCCAACTGTTCAGTGATGTCTCAGTGATCGCAAGGGTGAAAACTGGCAGCGATCACCGAATGGTTAGAGGCACACTGAACCTAAACGTTAAGTTGGAGAGGTCTCGTCTAATGAAGTCAACGCTCCGTACCCCTCGTGCTCTAATCCAGAATCCCGAAAACTTTCAGCTCGAGTTACACAACCGCTTTCAGTGCCTACAAGATTGCAATGCAGTGACGATATGAATGACAAGCTCGTGGAAACTGTCCATGCGGTCGGAGCTAAGTTCTGCAAGACCCGCCGCAGAAGAACACAAAAACTCTCCGATCACACTCTTAATCTCATGGCTGTTAGACGGGAGATAAGGCTGCAATCGTCAACAGATTTGACAGCATACAGGCAACTGAACAGACAGATCTCCAAATGCATGCGGCGAGACTTACGCAACTTTAATACTTCTCGTATTAAAGAAGCGATCGAGCGGAACCAGGGCTCCAAAGTCTTTGCCAGAGATCTGTCTGCCAGAAAGAGCCAACTGTCAAAGCTGAAGACTGAGTGTGGCAACATCGTTTCCGGGACACCTGAAATTCTGAGTGAAATTGAGAGGTTCTATGGGCAGCTGTACAAATCATCGTTGGAGCCACACATAAGTGTCGGTAACGATCCAAGAGCAAGTCTTATCCGACACTATTCCGATGATATCCCGGACGTCAGTCTGAGCGAGATTAGAATGGCTCTCCAACACCTTAAAAACGGCAAGGCCCCGAGCGAGGATGGAATTACAGCGGAGCTTCTGAAAGCGGGTGGAACACCGGTACTTGAAGTCCTTCAGAAGCTCTTCAATTCCGTCCTCCATGGTGGCACTACTCCAGAGGCGTGGAGCAGAAGTGCGGTGGTCTTGTTCTTTAAGAAAGGCGACAACGCTCTCTTGAAGAACTACAGACCGATTTCCCTTCTGAGCCGCGTCTACGTGCTGTTTTCGAGAGTCATTACGAATCATCTCGCACAGACTCATGACGACTTCCAGCCTCCCGAACAAGCCGGTTTCCGAAAAGGCTTCAGTACCATAGACCACATACATACCCTGCGGCAGATTGTACAGAAGACTGAAGAGTACAATTTGCCACTTTGCCTGGCGTATGTGGACTATGAGAAAGCCTTTGATTCCGTCGAAATTTGGGCGATGCTGCAGTCCCTTCAGCGGTGCCAAGTTGACTGTCGGTATATCGAAGTGCTGAAGTGTTTGTACAGTAGGGCTACGATGGCTATCCGAGTACAGAACCAGAGCTCGAAACCTATCCAACTGCAGAGAGGTGTAAGACAGGGTGACGTTATATCCCCGAAACTCTTCACCGCTGCTTTGGAAGACGTTTTCAAGCTACTGGACTGGAAAGGATACGGTAATAACATCAATGGCGAGTACATCACTCACCTTCGATTTACCGACGATATAGTCCTTATGGCAGAATCGCTGGAGGACCTTAGCACTATGCTCAATGACCTCAATGGTGTCTCCCAACGGATAGGTCTTAAGATGAACATGGACAAAACAAAGATTATGTTCAATGTCCATGTCACACCTATGCCGGTAGTTGTGGGGAGCACTATGCTCGAAGTTGTTGACGAGTACGTTTACCTGGGACAAATAGTCCGACTAGGTAAGTCCAACTTCGACCGAGAGGTCAATCGACGGATTCAACTCGGCTGGGCAGCGTTCGGGAAATTACGACACATCTTCTCGTCAGGTATACCTCAATCTCTGAAAACTAAAGTGTACAACCAGTGCGTGTTGCCAGTGATGACTTACGGATCAGAGACGTGGTCCTTCACTGCTGGCCGTATGAGGACGCTCAAGGTCGCTCAGCGAGCTATGGAGAGGGCTATGCTCGGAGTTTCTCCGCGTGATAGACTCAGAAATGAGGATATCCGCAGTAAAACCAGAGTGACCGACATAGCCCAACGGATTAGTAAGCTGAAGTGGCAATGGGCCGGCCATATAGCTCGAAGAACCGATAACCGATGGGGAAGAAAGGTTCTCGAGTGGCTAGTGGACTAGATGGAGTGACGACCTGGTAAGATATGCAGGAAGTCGATGGATGCAGGTGGCTCAGGACCGTGCTTTGTGGCATTACTTGGGGGAGGCCTATGTTCAGCAGTGGACTTGTGAAGGGCTGTAATGATGATGATGATGATGACCAAATCCCCGAGGTTGTATGGGTTACCGAAGATACATAAACCAAACACTCCACTACGTCCTATAGTGAGCCAGATCGATTCACCAAATTATAAGCTGGAACAACACTTGGCAAAAATACTGTCACCATTAAGAGGACATAGCAGAGCACACACAAAGGATTCATACTATTTTGTTAGTGAGATAAAAGACCTACATCTCGCTGACAATGAAACTATGGTCAGTTTTGATGTTCAGTCACTATTCACATGCCTACCTATTGAAGACTGCATCTAAATTGTGACTAGGAAGCTTGAAGATAATAACATGCCTGCTGAATATGCAGTATTAGTCAAACACTGCCTCACATCTGGCTATCTATTGTGGAAGGAAGAGTTCTACAAGCAAGTAGATGGTGAGGCGATGGGCTCACCTGTATCTCCCATAGTCGCCAACATATTCATGGAGGACTTTGAGGAGAAAGCCCTTCTTACTGCTCATGTAAATCCAAGATTCTACAAGCGGTACGTAGACGACACTTTCACAATTTTACCATCTGACAAAGTAACTGCATTTTTAGACCACCTTAACTCTATAAACTCTAAAATACAATTCACAATGTAGTTAGAGGCAAATAATTCTTTAGCTTTCCTAGATGTTTTTCATTCGAAATCCTGATAATACTATTGGTCACACTGTGTATAGGAAAAAGACCCATACCAACCGATATTTAAATGGTGAATCTCACCATCATCCTTCACAGTTAGCTACCGTGGGTAAATCTTTGTTTCAGAGAGCACGAGGGATCTGTGACAGAAAACATCTGGCCGCCGAGCTTCAGCACGTCAAGCAAGTGTTGCAAGATAACAAGCTTCGGGTCCCGCGCCTACGTCACAGGGACCGAGTGAAGCCGGCCACAGTCGAGCGTGTACCTGTTGTACTACCATATGTCAGAGGTGTCACAGACAAGGTTGGCTACAGCTTCCATTAAAACATACTACAAGCCGCCGAAGAAGATTAGTCAATTTTTATCATCCGTCAAGTGTAATATCCTCTACAAGATGCAGGAGCGTACAAGTTAGATTGTGAATGTGGTCTCTCTTATATAGGTCAAACAAAAATATCGATAAAAACCCGCATGAAAGAACATATAGCTGACGTGAAGCACCGACGCTCCGGGAAGTCTGCAGTCTGTGAACATGTTCAAGATCGTCCCCACCATTACATTAGATTTGATAAACCACAAGTCCTCGCAAAAGAACACCGATTCCTACCAAGGATGATACGTGAGGCTATTGAAATTAAAAAACATCCTAATTTCAATAGAGAAGATGGATGGGTGCTGCCATCTGCTTGGGATCCTATAATTAACAAAATTAAATCCAAACCCAAGCATACCACTGCAAGACTTCAAGATACTGTAAGCTCGTTTTGCGTAAATCGGACCGAAAAATTAATATTAAAAAACTGAAGGTAGCCGGGCTAACTATGACATTGGAACGTCAAACATCTCAGTCCCTCCCGTGACCATGGGTGCTGTAAAGCACAAGTAAAATCAGTTAAATAAACGCGATAAAATGCGTAAATTTAGTGTTATTCAACAACAACGTGTTACAAATGAACACACATTTCACATTCTTACCACCGTAAGTGGATTCTGTGCCCATATACACCTACAACTATTCTCGATTAAGAATCAAAATGCGTAATGCGTTGTCATCCCTGAGGACTAAAATAGAATACCTTCGTTTTCAAAAAGAAAGGTCTCTGGTTTTCTACACTCACATACAAAACACAGCAATATTAAGTCCATACATGTACAGTATTACAGGTACTCTGTGAGATTGTGGACTTCCCCGGTCGGGCAAACCCATTATGCACACCACGTATAATATCTGTCTAACACCTACATATATATTATGTTCTAAGGTCAAATCCAAAGTCTACTCCTTACTTACATACATACGTACATGTGAACACACGGACATCTTAAAAACTAAACTATTGGACTCTAAAGGCCTTGAAAAGTGGAGATATGTTAAAATTTCCAATTTGCAAAATCGGACCCATTTCAACATCACAACTTCCTACTAGGAAGTTAAAAAGTGTAAGATAATGCAACACCATATTTCGTTCCATTGGGACACCTAAGTGTTAGAATAAGAGATAGCAGGATTTTTAAGCTGCAGAGATAAATGAACTAACAGACTATCTGATACCGTAAGTGGCAACCGTAGCCTATGGAAACCTGTAACAAACTAGCTATGACGGTTTGCTTCAGCAGATGAATAAGTTGCAGGGTAGGCAGTAAGAGTCCTAACACCTAGTAAAAAATTACTTAGAATACTCAAAAGGACTCACTTGTTGGCGCTTCTGATGGCGATGGCGATTCGCCGCCGCCGTTGCCACTGCCACCGCCTCCATTGCCACTGCCACCGCCTCCGTTGCCGTTGCCACCGCCTCCGTTACCTTTGCCACCGTGGCAGCCGGCACGCCCCTTACCCTCAAAACCAACGCTCTTAGGAACTGCGCTCATTCCACTCTGTATTATAAAATGTATTTAGATTATTAATAAAAAATATAAATCAACTTTCGTAGTGCCTAACCGTGGGTGGATAAAAAATTTAAAGGTTTGGTGTTTGTTTTAAATTTTTCTAAAGAATAAAGGTGACAAACGAGCACACAGTTTACCTAATGGTTAGCGGATGCTGTCGCCAATATATAAAATAATAATTATCCTCAATTAAGAATCAAAATCCAAACGTATTGTACCCCTGCGGACTGAGATGGAAGGTCTTGTTTCTAGTAAAAAGGTCTTCTATTCTCTAAACTAAGCCATATGTAACGGCACTTAAAGCTGATATTTTACGCTAGCACGAGGTAAAGCGTCGTCCTAACCCGGTCGAGCTAACCCCTTCGTGCTAGTTGTAGATAGAATGGGTTAGCTCGACTTACTATGAATTTGACTGATTCGTTGGTCTAGTGGTTGTAGTGGCGCGACTACTGATCATGAGGTCCTGGGTTCAAATCCCGGATCGGATTAAAAAATTAATTATTGAGTTTTTCCGTCAAAAAATTCTCAATAGCTGGCCGGAGTCAGGAAGTTGGCGGTGTAATCAAAATTAACCCCGTGCTTCGGAAAGCACGTAAAGCCGTTGGTCCTGCGCCTGATCTCTGTCCGATCATGTCGGTTTACTCTCCCATCGGAATATGAGAATGAGGGAATAGAGAGTGCACCTGTGCTTGCGCATACACTTGGGTACTATAATCCTGTCCTGCGCCGATGGCGAGTCTCCGTTGAGGCTGGCCGCCGCGACCGAAATACGGTCTGGAGGACATTATTATACTATAAATATAGCCGCAGTATCACGTAAAACATATGTATATTGACAATTGCAATTAAGCGTTTGGTCCCCCATTAAAATTATCGTCTTATTTACAGATTAGAAAGTCGTAGGTTTTTTAGTAAATGAAAACCCGATAAATTGCATAAATAAAACTGTAACAAAATATTATAACAATCCGATTTACGACAAATCGAATCAGAAATTAGCGAGTTTTGCACTGCATTATTGTAAGTGATGAAAATTTAATTCATTATGTTAACGAACGCAATTACTGAATGTATGGCCACATTAGCACCAAGTCCTAAGAATAATTCTACAAGCATAAAATAGCTGCATCATATCTCCAGCAAGTATTATCACAACTCAAAATAATAAAAGACTGCGGTTGCCAACCTGTCATATGCAACTTGAGCATATTCCTTTTAGCAGTTTGACAGGATATAACGTCAGTAACGTCGTAAGGAGTCAGACTTTTGATAGGATATAACAAGTCGATGATCCCAATACTACCCCCTCGAACGGGTTCCCGCTTGTTGTATCGGAGGGGGCGGGGGATAGTAGCTGTGGCTTGGCCACCTGGGAAGAACGAAGAGCCCACTTGGCTGGCCCGAGGTGGCTACTCCAAGCAGCAGCCAAGGCGAGCAGTTGATATGGCGATGTGCCACTTGCCCTATTAAAGACTCGTTGACTCTGGCCGGGCTGCGCCGTTGATGCAGCGCCGGTAGAGTTGCAAGGGGAGAGGAGTGTCGGCGCCAAACTTGGTTAACAGTGGAGCCAGAGATCAGATCCGCCGCTGTGGTACGGAAAGCTAGTGCTTCCGAGTGCTCGTTTTTCCGGCCTCAGGCCTCCGCGTATCGGACTAGGGAGATCCGTTACACAGGTAAAGTACCGAGACCGAGGGGGGAAGGCACACCCTGTATTCCTGGCGCACCTTACCCGAGAAGGAAAAGGGGAGGAGAAATCCTTTCCGAGGAGTACCTGCCATTGGGCGGGCGGCGCCGGTAGGGCCGCGGATATGTGCGAAATCGTGCCCGTGATCCTGCCAATATGTGACGAAGGTGAAACATCATAGGGCTTTAGTCGGTAGGACATTATGTATTAAAAACACTTTTATTATACATTAGAAAATCGTTATAACATTTATTTTTAAAAAGAAAAATCTTACCACTGCAACGAAAACGATAGCCATAAAGGCCAAAATCAAACCTAACAACTTCATCTTGCCTTCTAACTGATGGCCTGAATCAGTCGGGCTCGCTTTTATATGATAACCTGAGGAAACAAGAGCTATACCCACAATAGTCTTCCGGTGATGATAGCGGTTATAATAATTTCGATAAATTGCAGTGCAATTTTATGAGGCGTCAGCGCGATAAATGACTTTTTTTAATAACATAATTTTAACGGTCAAGGTCTGTTAATTGTAATGCAGCAGTGCCGTACGTGCTCGTAATGAATTATTGCGCCCCATGCGTGTTGCCACCTCTTCCAAAAAGAGATTTGTGCGGTCGGGAGATGATCAAGACCGAAATTCCTTAAATTATATATATATATATATATATATATATATATATATATATATAATATATATATATTACTCTAATCGTGATTTAATACGTAGAATTCTATAGATTATTTTAATTAATTTAAAAAAAAATGTTAAAATTATTATATTAATCTCAATACTCGCACGAACACACGCGCATACAACTACGTATATAACAAAAACCAGGAATATTTTGGTATGAAAGTTTTTTTACTATGTTACTTCTAAACTTCTCCAAGCGACGTGCATTTACTGGAACAAACACATTTTCTTTCTACTTGCTTTTCGTGAACATAAGGTGACGAAACGAATTGTTCACAGTGATCAGAGCTCTATTTTTGAATTATAGGTACATTAATGGAACGGCTTAACATATTTTGTAAAAATATTATCTATACATTTTGCACTAGATTCAGCAATACGCGTTGGCTGCAAAAATAAATTAAAAACGCCATATGATTTAAACAAAGAATCATGCCTACTTTCCATACATTGATTGACCTGTCTCTTGATTCCTTTAACAGGTCGCGTCTACCTACAACTACTGTTGTATAAAAACAATTATTATTTATAATACCACGATAACCTACCATCTTTTCATTTAGAGGCCAGGGAAAAATGCTATGAAGTAAATAAAATTTTAAGGTTATAACAGCTGTCAGACAAGGTCTGTAAACTTATTTTTTTTTCCACACCATAGTATAAAACCATTAAAAAACGTATCTAATCATAACTTAATAAGTTATAAAAAATGGTTATTTTGAACATTTATAGACCATATGACGAATGAACAAGTTTTTCGTAGTCTGAAACTGAACGTGTAAAACACGTTTTAAATATATTTTGCTTCCCGGTTTCTGGGCCTTTGAGTCATTGTAAAACACGTTCCGTCTCCAAAAGTCTATTGAGAATGATAAAAGAAGTAACATTACTGTTTTTCCTGGCTTTATTTAAAAATTCAATTATGCGATACGAAATACGAGAAGAAAAAAATGTGCAATTTTATAAGATATTTCTCATCACCAGACGCGTTAGAAAATTTTCTGGTCAAGACTGGAGACGATTCTTTAATATTGGTGAAGGACGCTTCTAGGAGATTGATATTAAAGTCTCCACATATTACAACAGATTTATTCTGTTTATTAAGCTTAGCAAAAACTTCGTTCATAATTTTTTCAAAAGTATCGTATACACGACATTTCTTTAGTTCGTTTAACAGACAGGCTCTCAATATCTTTACGTTCTAATAATTTACTAGCTAAAATTAAAGAGCCACCTCTTAAAACCGTTTCTCTATTGAAAAAACTGACTACCTGGTGATTACTGAAGTTAAACATTAATTTTAACCAATGTTCAGTTCATACATAAAATATGAATATTGTTGCTATTTAAAAACAATTCAATTTCTAGCTCTTTGCCAATCATGCCTTGTATATTTTGATACACCAGGTGTAAACAATTTTTATTATCATTTCATGGAGTCATACAATTACATATTATTTAAGGATTTGTAAGCTACATTCTAAATTATTAAAATTATTAATCACATCCAATTTAGGATAATTTCAAGCAAAAATAGAAGCCCTATTTACTCGTATGTTCAAAAACTGCAATTATCGTATATAGTTATTTATATAACTGATTTTAAGTTTTAAATTTGGCCAAAAAATTTGGTCTGAAAAATAACACTGTATAATGAAAACAAATAAAAGATTACGCTAACTGTAGAAATGAACCGTATACCGAATATAAACATATACTTACAAAAATAAATACACCATCATAATAACTGAGCCACCTAGCCGTAACATGAACACTTTTTATATATGTCTTCTATATTCTACTTTGTTTTATGATTTATTTTGCTTCACCAAATACCGAACATAGTGTTTAATTTATGTTACAAAATATTGTTAACCGTAAAAATAAACGAAATTAAGTGAGAGTGTTAAAAACATACACTAATATGAAGGTATTATTATAAAATATCTGTTATATTTTTTTTCTTACATCGAATCTATTCGTCTTGCTTTTGACCTAGTTATTGAAGGATAAATACATGGGCTCCGACCGCCAGTATCCTTTTTACTGTTAATTGAAAACAAAGAGTCAAACTGTTCTGGATTTGAAGCCTTGGCGGTTAACTAAGCGTTACTTGCGTTCGCATAATAGGCAGCCCGGCGCGGTTGTTTCTTTATCTGCATATAGTCTTATCAGGTGACGGCGATTGCTCCTGAATCGTCGTTCGTGCGAATCCTGTACTACGAACAAACGTGTTTCCTCCGATAGTCTAATAATAGAAACGGGTTTCCTATTTATCAATTAAAACAACTTTATTTCCTGGTAATAAAATTTGCAACGGCTTGGCCGACTTATCATAATGTAATTTATTATATTTACTCTGTCGCATTAACGTTTTATAATTTCTATTTTTACTAACCGGTGGTTTCGTACACAAACCCTATCAGAATTTGAGCCGAAGAAACCATTCCATACCTGGACGTACTCCTATAGTTCAATAAACTTATAAGGAAATCATCCCCAGAATGGATTTTATTTGCATTGTGCGTTTATTTTTCCCATTTGACTGTGGACAATAAGGTGATGAAATCATATGCTTAACATCCCATAATACCTAAGAAATTTAATGAATTTTTGTGAACTATACGCCGACCAATAATTTGTAACAAACTCGCTAGGCATGCCATGCCTCGAAAAGTGTTCTTTCATAAAGTGAATAATTGTTCTACTGTTTATATTATTTATTTCTTGAACTTCAACATAATTAGAAAAATAGTTGCAAGTTTTGCCAAGGTCCTATGGGTACGATATGTTGAAGTAGTGGTTCCCGCGTGGGAGCAAGCGTATACAGGGCACCCGACTTGCGCGGTGTACAGCGCACTCTACGTCCGCTGACAGCCCTGGCCAAAACATTACGTCAAGCCAATTACGAGCCACTTACATCTCTCTATGCCTAGGTGACCTTCGTGCACTTATACAATCATTTCGGCTCATAAAGTTTCCGGCATAAATATAAAATAATTTTTAATAATAACCTATTCACATAATGGAGTTCTTTACAATATGGTCAAAACTTTCTAACTTTTTTATGAATATTATGTTTATTTTTTGGCCAACCGTTTAATATGTACTTAATTAATAACTGACATTCCTCGTTAACTTCTGTCAACTTTCGAATTCTATCAAATTTTCAAATTTAAAAATACTAAACGGCATACATTCAGCCATTAAGCATGTTTGCGTCTCTAAATCCTCAGACAAAAGATCATGAATCAGCTACGGTAGAGGAGCCCTGGACAACGTGGTCCTTCACTACTGGCCGTGTGAGGGCTATGCTCGGAGTTTCTCTGCGTGATAGACTCAGAAATGAGGATATCCGCAGTAAAACCAGAGTGACCGACATAGCCCAACGGATTAGTAAGCTGAAGTGGCAATGGGCCGGCCATATAGCTCGAAGAACCGATAACCGATGGGGAAGAAAGGTTCTCGAGTGGCAGCCTCGTACCGGTAGGCGTAGTGTAGGGCGACCCCCCACTAGATGGAGTGACGACCTGGTAAGATATGCAGGAAGTCGATGGATGCAGGTGGCTCAGGACCGTGCTTTGTGGCATTACTTGGGGGAGGCCTATGTTCAGCAGTGGACTTGTGAAGGGCTGTGATGATGATGATATATATATATATATATATATATATATATATATATATATATATATACATATATATATACAGGGTGTCCCAGAACTCAACGTCAAGCCGAAACAGGGTGACAGGAATGATTGTTACGATCATGAGAAAAATCAGAAAAAAAATCTATCCCATGCAGTTCGGAAATTATGGGCATTTAAGAAAAATCTAGAATTTTGGTGAAACTGTAACCATTTTCCGGTTTTTTGTGGTTAATTTTCATTATTTTTGTTCATTTAAACTTTGGAACCGTAACCCTAAATAACATTTCTAGAACAACAGTCAAAAATAATGACACAACTGCCCCAAGTTTTCTAGAATTAAGACTATTTGTTAAACTATGAATTTAAAATTTTTTACATTTGTCAACTTTGAAAGGTCCTCCTTTAAAAAAAATATACTAAAGAGTGTTGGCAAGTGCCATTAAAAGTTTGCGCATTTAACCAGCATTGTAAAATGGTATAATACTTGTTAGTTTCATACTAAAAAAAACTAGTTAAAAATAAAAACATCGAGTAACCCGATTTTTGCTAACCCATTTTACTCAGTTTAAATGTTTTTTATTCACACAAGCTCTTGGTAGGTTCTTAATTTTACGGAAAAATGATGAGAGAGATGGATAATAGACATGATTGCCGTGAGCGACCGAGACAGATAGTGACGCCACGCAATGAGACGGAGATGCGTCTAACACCAGTTAGTACGATTCGCTCATTCGTCTACTGCGCACCTTTCTGTATTCGCTTGTGTTGATTTAGTACTGACAACTTGGCTTCTCTTTTTGGACTTAGATTATTGTGAATTGGACTTGTTGATTACATACCGGGCAACTTTGGCTTCTCTATTTTGGAATTGCAATTTTGGTTTTTCTTTTTGGACTTAGATTATTGTGAATTGGACTTATTGATTACATACCGGGCAACTTTAGCTTCTCTCTT